TTTTAATTTGGTGAAAATATGGGAAGGCAAAGTAAGATTAGATGTGGATGATAGATTTTTTAAAAGACAGGATGATGATGATGATGATGATGATGATGATTACAAATAGTTTATTGTCAAGTTGGTTTCCATATAACACCCCGTGCTCATTCCCACAAGTGCCCTCCTCCATGCCCATCTCTCCCCTCCCCCCCACACCCATCAGTCCTCAGTTTTTTCTCAGCATTCAAGAGTCTCTCATGGTTTGCCTCCCTCCCTTTCCCCCCTTCTTCTCCCCCACGGTCCTCCGTTAAGTTCCTCCCAATCCTCCTATACGTGCAAACATATGGTATTTGTCCTTTTCTGCCTGACTTATTTCGCTCAGCATAACACCCTCAAGGTCCATCCATGTTGCTACACATGGCCAGATTTCTTTCTTTCTAAAAAGACAGGATTATTAAAAGACTGAAAGCAGCTCTCTGTATGGCTGTCTTACTGAATTTTATTTTATTTGGTTACAAAAGAATTATTCTGATACAAAATATGAATGACTTGAGTTCAGTATTTCTCACAGGTAAATGTTTAAAGCCATGGCCCAAGAAGATTCTTGATTTAGAATCTGATTCAGATTTTGGTAAATGATGGCTATTTAACCAGTATCACTTTATTGTGACTTGTATGGCTTCTAAAATCTGACAGGTGTATAAAATGAATGATTAATGAGTAAATAATCATTTCATTGTCAGACTTCTCTTTCATCAGTGAAACGTTTAGATATTATGACATGTTAATGTAGTAGTACAAATCAAAACTTTTGAAACTTTTGAAAAGGAAACTTGTTTTTAAAAGAAACTATTGCTTTATTTAAACTTTACATCATTTTTTAAAATGTCTTAAGAAGAGAAATACTAGATCTCTGAATTTTAGAGGTAGTCTTTTTTCTTTTGTTTTTAAAGTAAGCTACACTATGAATTATCTGGGGGAGAAGTGGTATTTTGGGGTGTCTTATATATGCGTGTGTGTATATATGTATATGTATAGATAGATAGAAATAGTCAATTAATTGGCAATAGCAAATTAAAAATTGAAATACTTGATTTTTTTACATTTTGAATGTACAGATGTGGTCCAGATCTCCATATGACTGTTCTTTTCACATTATGATGTGCTTTTCATTGTTTTTTTTTTCCCCAAAGTCATACTTGTACATCCATAGTAACTATTTCAGGTACTCAGAAGAACCCAACTAAAACATGTCCTTCTTGTCTGAATAGCTGTTCTTAAGAATTTGCTCCATCCATTATTACACTTTTTTTTTTATGTTTAAGCTTTTATTAAAATGCTTTTGGGAATGGTTACATGTTCTTTCAGTAGAGATACTATTTGTAATTAAGTTATGTGGTTGTGTCTTACTGTGCCGACAAGCGTATATGTGCACTTTTATCAGGAAGAGTGGTGTCAGTGGCTGCGCTGGGCGGACTTAAAACAGAAAATGGATAAGTTTGCAGTGTTGTGGACTAATTCTTCAAAGAACAATTAGGGTAACCTCTTAGCAAAGTCTGTTACAAACGAGCTTTCTAATAGAAGGCAAACACCATGCCAGAGATAAAAGTCCTTTCTAGGTTTAGAGTTGGAAAACAAAACTCAAATAAAATTTAAAATAATTGGGGGGGGGGATTATTTCCTGATAGGTGTCAGATACTAACCTCACAGATCTCCATGTGCTGTTAGCAAAATGTAAAGAATTAACATTACTTAAAAAATATGCTGGTTGTCATATTTTAGAGCAAATTTGGACATACATACTGGGCACCAGGAAAAGTATGTTTAAAACAGACCAGGATCAGGGAAGCTGAAACCAGAATTTTAAAAAAATTAAATATTTGAGGATTATTTTGAACCCTATGTTTAGGCGAGCAATTGCAATTAATTACATTTCATATCTGGCAAAAGCCCTCTCTTGAAGGTATGTCTTTACATTTTCTCTTAATATAAATCTTTGATATCCACAAGAATTTATGAGCATATACTTTCTCTAAATAAAAAGGTAGAAAAGAGAATTAAATAAGTATCTTGGTTAGGTTTTGTTTCCTTTTGTGATACTTCTTAATCTTTGAAGTTACCACCTTACACTCACTGAAGAACACTGGCCAACCCCTTGTTGAGTTGTTAGTTAGGGTTTGGGAGGTTCTCACTCTCTTGGAGTGAGATTTGCCTTATTTCCAGGACTAGCAGAATCTATAAATATTACTCCCTTTACTTTTGCCAGTATTCTCTCAGTGCGCCCCCTTTGCGCTTAAGCTCAGTTCTTCAGGGGTTTAGATTTTAACTTTCTCTTGCAGTTACCAGCACCTGAAGTATTTGCCTTTCTCAGAGCAGCTTGCATTTGCTGCCAGGGTGGCTATATTAACAAGAAAATGGACAAATGGTTTGCTTTGAGATGAACCATTGTACTATGATTACATGAATTTGTCTCGTATCCCCCTAATTTAAAAATAAATTTATACCCTACATAAGCATAGAAAGTATTAATAAATTGTTATTTTTCTCGTTGAAAATATTTAGTAAAATTATACACATGTATTTTGTTTGTTAGATCTGGATATTGAACAAAATAAGTTTGTTACCATTTTTTAAAAATTTAACATTCATTCATTTTTGAAAAAGAGGTGGACTGCGAGTGTGGAAGGGGCAGAGAGAGAGGGAGACACAGAATGTGAAGCAGCTCCAGGCTCTGAGCTGTCAGCACAGAGCCCCACATGGGGCTCGAACCCATGAACCTTAAGATCATGACCTGAGCTGAAGCCGGATGCTTAACCGACTGAGCCGCCCAGGTGCCCCAAGTTTGTTACCATTTTAATGTAAGATTGCAGACTCCTAAAAAAATTGGAACTAGATTGTCAGGATTTTCTTTATGCATCTCTACTCGACATAGTACTCAGCATAAGTAATAAATATTTTTCATTACTGAATAGTATATATCAAAATCATTGCCTTTTTATTAATAAAATTGGACACTGAAATTTAAGGGAAATAAAACTGGAAAAGATTAAGCGAAATAGTTTTTATGAAGTACAGAGAATTTATTGCCTTACTCAGGTATTTTATTTCATACACTCAAGACTCCTCCTTTTTTTATGCTCCAACCTTTTATTGTGGAAAATTTCAAAGATGTACAAAAAAAAAATACCCAGCTTGAACAGCTTTAAATTCTTGTTTCATCTGTACTCTTCCATCCTTAGATAATTTGAAGTAAATTCTAGACATCATATGGGTTCATTCACGAATATTTCAGTTTGTTTCTCTAAAAGATTATCAAGCCTTTGTTTTTAGACAGCATGTTAAATAAAATACGTAATATTCAGTCAGTACGTTCTGAGTGCAGAACATACTCTTAATAACCTAAGACCCAAATAGGTGCCTGGTGAGAAAGCGAAATCATTTTAACAACTATTGACATACTAAAAGCTCTTAGTATTCATGGGCTGATTTTTTTTTTCCTCTTTTCAAAATCCAGGCTTCCTTCGTTCCCGGTTCTAACAGTTCTTCTTCTGGCTTCCAGCTCCTTCCCTGCACTTCCACAAGGGGGCAGATGAAGGAAGAGAGCAGTGAAATTTAAGTGAATCTGACTTGAGTTTTCACTTTTATTCATCAGTCAAATGGAGTTGCAGAACATGTGGGGGGCAGTTTTTCAGAAATAAGCAGACTTTGAAACAATTCGCAGTCTTCTCCTTGCTCTACAGAGACAAGATATTAGATATTTCAAAAGGGGGTGAAGTAATAATCTTTTATAAAATAGCTTCCAAAGCATTATCATGGTCTTTTAATGTTCTCTGTTAATGATTTGGGCTTTAATGAAAATACATCATTTGAACTTGTGTCTAATTTTTGGAAGCTAAAGTTTTGGATAACGGTGAAATTTCTCAGTGAGTAATGAAAATATTGCCTCGTTGATATATTTAGCTGGACATTTGATTAGTGAAGTGGCATAATTACTGTGTTTATGCCCATACAGCTCTCCCTTTCCTTAAAAACCTCAGTTTCTCCATCAGTGTCATTGAGTGAATTATGTTCGTGGACAGTCATAAACATATTATGATTACTGGTTAACTTACGTATGGCAAAGATACTATTCTATTTGAAGTATGTTTGATGTTGAAACACTCAAACACCAGAAAAGTGGATTTTTAGGCTGCGGGAATTTTAAATGAGCATCTTTAGAGTTGTATGTGAACTCGGGGCGCCTGGGTAGCTCAGTCAGTTAAGTGTCCAACTTCAGCCAGGTCATGATCTCACGGTTCGTGGGTTCAAGCCCTGCATCGGGCTCTGTGCTAACAGCTCAGAGCCTGGAGCCTGTTTCAGATTCTGTGTCTCCCTCTCTCTCTGACTCTCCCCTGCTCACGCTGTCTCTCTCTCTCTCAGAAATAAATAAAACATTAAAAAAAATTTAGAGTTGTGTGTGAACTAGTTATTTGTCTGGAAGTGTGGTATTTGCATAATAATCTGTGGGAGTTTTTCTGCTTCGGTATGCTATATATTCTTGTTCTTTTTTTTGTTTCCTGATTAATATATTTCTTGTGGAAATGCTAGTTTTCCAAGTAGTCTATTAGGAGACTCATTTTGTATATGTGGTTTTAGCTGTTTTAAGATATTGGGGGGGGGGGAAGGCGGGATAAATATGCAGAAATTGATTTTCCTTTTTTGTAGGTATTTTGACATCTGTTTTACGTTCATGTTTTCCTTCTGTTGCCACCATTAACATCTCTGATTATCAAAGTTTTTATATCTCTGCAGCATGACATGCAATTCTGATGAAACTGTTATCTTATATTTCTATAGAGGTTTTTTTTAAGCACTTAATGCCTTTTATTCCTTAGCTTCATGCATGAATTATGTAGCATATGTGAAGAGGCTTAAACTGTTTCCATTACATTCTTTCTGGATGGCTCCTGTTATATTTAGGATATAGTTATACTTTAGACAAAGTAAGAATGTTGTTGTTGACCTTGACACCAGATAACTGGGCAGACATTATATAGCTATGTTTGAATCTTCACAAAACGTGCTGTTAAAGCCAACGGAGTCTTGGCGGGAGACCCTTTTGGACAGCAGAGTTATGGAGCTGTTCTTCACGGTAAGTCATTTCCGGTTCTGGTGGTGAAGGCTGAGGTCAGGAGGGGTGCCACCGAAAACAGTACGTGCTTCTGTGTTCTTCTCAAGTGCAGCGGGACAGGTGGTTTTCTCCTCCAGAGCCTTCTCTTCTAACGGTACATCTGCTTAAATAGAAATTATATAGAAACGTTCTTGCTAATTTATAAAAGAGTTATAGAAATATGAATATCTTGGAGCTCAAGTTCTCAAACTCTTTGGTCTCAGAAGCCCTTACAGTCTTAAAAATTATTGAAGACCCCCGAAGAGCTTTTGTTTATGGAGTTAGAGCTATTAATATTTACCACGTAAAATTTCAAACAAAAAGCTTAAAAAAATTTATTCATTTAAAAATAGCAATGTGAGGGATGCGTGGCTGGCTCAGTCAGTGGAGCATGTGATTCTTGATCTCAGGATTGTGGGTTCAAGCCCCATGTTGGGTGGGGAGATTATTTAAAATCCTAAAAAAAATAGTACCAAAACCATTACATATTAACATAAATAACATTTTAGTGAACAGATAGCTATATATTTGGAAGAAGAAAAGTTTATAAAGAGTGGCATTGTTTTACATGTTGTACAACTCTCACGTCATGCTTAACTGAAGACCGCCAGATTCTCAGATCTGCTTTTGCAGACGGTTGTGCTATTGCAGGTCAGGTAACCTTGAGGAAACGCCACTGTATACACGTGTGACCATGAGAATGCAGAAGACAGATACTGTTAGTATTCGTGTGAAAACCGTCTTGCGCTTACAGACGACCTGACGTGGTCCAGCAATGTCCAGGGTCCCTGGACCACACTTCAAGAACCACTGGAAGAGAGGAATGTACTTCATGTACTCATTTATGAGCCATGGGTTAAGTTAGTGTGTTTGAATAGCCATTTATTTCAGTTATAACTTCAAATAGTCTTGTTTATTATCTGCTAAAAAGAAGTAGGTTCTGGGCGCCTGGGTGGCTCAGTCTTAAGTGTCTGACTTCGGCCTCAGGTCATGATCTTGCAGTTTGTGGGTTCGAGCCCCATGTTGGGCTCTGCGCTGACAGCTCAGAGCCTGGAGCCTGCTACAGATTCTGTGTCTCCCTCTCTGTTTCTGCCCCTCCCCTACTGATTTCTCTGTCTCTCAAAAATAAATAAACGTTAAAAAAAAAAAAAAGAGGTAGGCTGTATGTTCCCATGTTTGTTCATGAGAGTCCCCAGTGTAATAGTCAGAGACTGGTAAAGATTGTGTGGAGGGAGAAGGATACTGATTTGTTGTTAATAACATAAGCGCACAAGTGAGTTAGATATAATGACTGAGGCAAAAGCCCGATAAACACCAGTTAAGAAGAAAAAAAATGGAAGCTGTTTTACTCAATCCCAACCATTTGTTTCATACCTTTTTATTTGTTACAAAAATCTTATTTACTATCCTTACAACTGCCTTCCTTTCTTGATTAAACCATTTAAAATATTGTAGTTCTATGGTATATATTTTTAAATACCTAGAATAAGGTTAATCATCCATGGTTATACACATAAAAATCTTTTCTCTAGAAATGCTCAGACTTCATTACCTTGCAGTATATTCTTTACATCGGAGCAGTGATGAGTAAAAGCACTGTCAGTATCAAAGGGGTAATTGTAACTAAACAGATTCTGGCTCCTGCCACATCTGACAGAAATTGTTTTGGTATGTATCCAAGTTCACTTCTTTGTGTTATTCATTTGACTGAAAGAAGAACCCACTCTAGCAGTTTCTGAAAAGGTGACAAACTTGCTGGCAGTACTGGAAACAACCCCCCAGATCTGAACAGCTGTCTAGACAAACCAGACAGCTGTTCCCAGCAGCTGGGAACCGCCACATGCAAGTAGCTTCTGAATTTGAGACTTAACCCTTTTGACGCTGTGTTTGTGGCCTGCTACTTTCATTTAAGGAGTTGATGAACAATTTTAATTTGTAATTTGTTACACAAATGACATTGGCTAATCTTTTTATTTCATTCAGTTTTTGTTAAATTTATTTTCGATCATGTGAATTCATTACCTAATAAAAAGCAGTTTTCTATTATCCTCATTTCTTTAGATTTGAGTGTATAGACGTAAATGTACTATTGAATGGAATTGAAGCGTTAAATATGTTGGTCACGTCTAAATGGAGAAACACTATAGGTTACATTCTGCCCATCAGAAGTTTACAAATGTCTCAGTTTTTCTTTCTTCCATAAGGTATTGGAAAAGCCACTCTCATTAGTTTTTCCTCCTACCTTTTTGGCTGATCCTTGACCTCATTTATGGTCTCTCTTTTTTTTCTTTGCTCATTGCAAAAATATTAGTGTTGTATCTCAGTTCTCAACCTTGCTGGCTGTATACGCTTTCCTTGGATTATCTCTTCCACACGTAGGACTTGAAGCACCACTTCTGCTCCGATGACTCCTAAATCTATATTCAGCACGGGCTGCTCCAAAGTTCCAGAGCCTTATAATCCAAGTGCTTACTGGGTGCTTTAGTTTGGATGGCCTGCAGACATCTCAGATTGAGCGTGTTCCAGTAGAATTTATCGTCTTACTTGCTTCTGTTTATTCCTTGTCTTGCTTCACCATTCACCTCCGTGGGTGTTCTGCTAGGCTTTGCGTTTCCTTACCCTCTGCTTTCCCTATTCAGGTGATGAATTCCGTTTTCAATCTGTTTAATATAGTTCAGTTTTGGTAGAACTCATTTGCAGTACTGACGTTGGAAGAAGGGCAGGAGTATACTGTATTATGCAGGAATTAATCATTGCTTTATCATGAGTTTTATATGGTTCATATTTCAGAGAACATAAGTTTGAACAGTACATGCAGCCTCTATGGCAGTTTCTTGTTTTTATTTTATTACATGATCAGCATTAGCCATTTCAGTCATCATTTCTTTTGATTCCTTACTTCTGGACCAAGAACGAGCAACCATTTGGCTCTAAAGGGAGAAGAGAAGCCCTCGATTGTCCCAGGTGGCATCGTGTCCATTGGTTGCATCTGCCCCTGAGTAAGGTGCTTAATGTCGACTAGGTGAAACAGCTTGACGAAACTTAGTTTCAGTTTTCAGACTCAACTCAAGAATGAATTGTGTTCAAAAGTTCATGAATTGGACAATGTAGATTATATGAATTTGTGTATTATACTTTTCCTATATAAAACTTAAAATGTAATAGAATATATCTTGAGAAGCATTTGTGTTATTGTAGACCAGGGATTGGCAGACTTTTCCTGTAAAGGCCAGGTAGTCAATATCAGCCTTTGCAGGTCATGTTCTCGAGGCAGCTGTTGAGCTCTGGCTTTGTAGGACGGCAGAGACCTAAACAAACAAGCGTGACAGGGGCAGTGCTCCTGTAAAACTGTATTAACAGTCATCAGAATGTGAGTTCTGTGCAATTGTCAGATGTCTTGAAATGTTATTCTTCTTTGATTTTCTTTTTCCCAACCATATAAATATGTAAAAACCATTCTACAGGCCTTACAGAAATGAGCAGGAGATGGGATTTGGCCGTTGGCTGTGGTTGGCCAGACCCTGTTCTAGACCACAGAGGGTGGTTTATTTTACGCATCTCAATTAACTTTGTAACTTTTTAGTATTTTAAATTTCTTAGAGCCTTAAGAAGCTCAAGGTTTAAAGATTAATGAAATCAGTCCGTGAATAAGGATTTATTACCTGTTCGTGGTGTACCGTGTACCAAACGTATACCTGTGAATATTTACAAGAAATATTCCAACTGCAAGTAATTTATAAATGGTTTGCAGGGTCGAAGTGAACATAACTTGAAACAAGTAGAGCACAAATGTTTAAAATTTTGTGACACATTCAGAAAGCAAAGAAATTTGTGTAGGATCAGAAGGGCTGGAGAAGTCAAATGCTTGTGGAAAGTAGAAAATGGCTGCCATAAATGTGGTTGGTGGATTGAGATAAAAATTTACCTATATATATTTTTTTCTTTTAAATTTGCCCACGAGCGAGGGAGGGGTACAGAGAGAGGGAGAGAGAGAGAATCCCAAGCGGGTTCTGTGCTGTCTGCACAGAGCCCGGGCTCTGTCTCAGGATCTGAGATCATGACCTGAACCAATACCAGAGTCGGCCACTCAACCGACTGAGCCATCCAGACGCCCCTGCAATTTCTTTACTAAGTGTATTTTCCTTAATTATGTTTCATTATATCTGATTAAAGAAATGAAACATCTTAAAAATCTGAGAATATTAGTAACACTGTAAAATTAGGGAGCAGTAATTCATTTCCTTTATACAGAATACTGTGTACCAGGTGTTTCACATTAGTGCTGCATCATTGATATAAAACCTAGATGAGGTTTAAAGTGGACTTATATATAATTTAAACAAAATTTTTAAAAATTTAGCCCTTGTTAATAGCAGTGTGTATAGGATAGAATGTGATTCAGACAAATTGTGGGCAATCTCAGAGTTAATGAAAGAGTGTGCTTATGTACTAGTTGAATGAGTATCTGGGGATTGAAAGGTAAATTGATTTTCTAAGCGTACAACTGTTTACTTCTACTAAAGCAGCATCTATATACTCTTGATTGAACTTGTTTGCTAACTTTAGCAAGAAGCTGTAGCGAGGCATAGTTAGCATAATACAGATGACTGTCGTCGTTGCTGTTTTTAGAAGAAGCAGTATGTCTGACTGGCTGGCATCTGTCTCTCTCTTTGTCATAACATCCTGGAGACAGTTCAATTTTCAAAATGTAGGTAGCCCTCAGTTAAAAATTACTTGATATGTTTAAAAAATCATGGCCTGTAATGCAAAGTGGACTGAGGGACAATTTTCAAATTTAGTGAAGTTCAGGAATTAATTTTCTAGAAATAACTGCTACAGAGAATTTTTCTCTTACCTCATTCGGCATGATAGACACGTGACCCTTACAAAAGAAGAATTTATTTTTATGGATTAGTAATTCTTTCTAACAGGTACATCGAAAAATCAGAGAAGATTCAGATATGGCACAAGATTCTCTTCAGTGCCTTGCCCAGTTAGCTTCTCTTCATGGACCCATCTTCCCCGATGAAGGCTCACAAGTTGATTATCTAGCACACTTCATTGAGGGATTACTGAATACTATCAATGGGTAGGTATACTTGCCCTTTGTAACTGGAAAAAGAGCTTTCATTTTTTTCTTTATGTTTAACAGTAGAGGAGAAAAAGATACTGGTGATCTTCCCTGTTTATATTTTAAAGTGTAGTTATATGGGAATTTGAAATTAATACCCAGAGACATGCCTTCAAAAGCGAATAGGTGATAATATCTGCATGTTTGGGAATGAGTTCTTGGGACTTTTCTTCGACCACTTAGTAATACTCATTACTCGATTTCTAGAATTGAAATAGAAGATTCTGAAGCTGTGGGGATCTCCAGCATTATCAGCAACCTGATAACTGTGTTCCCTCGAAATGTTTTAACTGCCATTCCAAATGAACTTTTCTCGTCCTTTGTTAACTGCCTCACACACCTCACTTGTTCTTTTGGGCGAAGTGCTGCACTGGAAGAAGTGGTGAGTGACTATTCTAAAATAAATCGTATCTGTTTTTTACAAGGAAATTTGCGATGCCTCTGCCACGTTTCTCATGAAAAGTAATTAAGCAAATGCTAGCTACTGTTAAAATTGCATTTTTGTTTATATGTGAAAAATATTTGGTAATCTGTTTAGAAATCTCACTTTAAAATTTTTGTGGATTAAAATCACTTTTGCATATTAAATTTCTTGGTGTCAAGATTTTAACTTTGAGATAATTTAGTATCTGAGTACAGGAACTGGAATGAAATGTTTGTATTAAGGATTATGTTGAAATCCCATTTTAACAGTGAAAGCTTTCAAGGACGCTGCTATCGTGTGGTTGTGATTATAATTTTATATTTTTGAGAATTTAAAGATTTTGGACTTATCTGGAAACTGTAGGTATAATTTGGTTTATATAATTGTAACCATGCTGGTTTTGATTAGGCTGTGGTCTTTTAATTTTTTTGGTTTAATAGTGTATCTTGGTAGAACTTAATTTTCATTAAATTAAGACCAGTAACAGTACTAAAGATGTTTTTGGTACAAGTTTTCAAATGTATATTTTCCAGATATAAAACTTAATTTAGGAAACATGTACTAAAACTCCTTGACAACACAGCTGTGTTTGTAACAGTTAATGGTGAATAACTACATTACTCATGGGAAATAATTGATTTTTTTCCTCCATAGTGGTTCTTAAATTGTTGAAACTAATTTTTCTTTTTATGAACCAGTATGTGAATTTTTTTCGAAGACTGTAAGAGTAAAAAGAATATTTGTCAATATCTGTTAGAATTTCATGTTAAATCCTGTGTCTTGTGGGGGTGTGGCAACGTCTGTGTGCGTTTTCGTATCCCTTTAAGGTGTTCAGAAGATAGAGAACTCGGGAGTGATTTACGTAGTTGGACACTTCGGTGGTTTGCTGAGGAAAGGAACCAGGTCAGGCAGATATTCGTGTGTTGGAAAAAAATGTAGGTAGTAAAGGAATAGAAGTTGAAAGGCATCGCACGTCAGATTTGAATTTCTCGGGGAAAGTTATGTTCAAAGCATGGAAATCTAGGTCAGTTTTAAATATTTACGCTTTATTCAAAACCCTCTCCAGTTGTTACAAATTCTGAATCAAATCAGGTTTCATTTAACATGGTCTCATTGTGCTTTTCCGTCCTTGGTTTGTTGTCTCTTCCAAACCCGGCAGATCGAACAGTATGTTGATCACGTATTTAGCAACATAGCTATATTTTAGTTTCTGTTTGTGGATTAATAAGGAGGTTTCTGAACATTTTATAGAAGAATTCCCAGAAGATAGATAACATTCTTGTTTTGCAGATTTTAAGTGTAGATTTATTTCTACCAGGGACTGGCAGCTTGGAAAACCAATATTCTGTCACAGCCGGCCGAGACATTTTAGAAAGCAGCAGGTCTGGGTTCTCTTTCAGAATAGATGTGTATTGTGCGTGTTTCACAAGAAGGTGCGCTGTGGTTACATATACCTAACAGGTTTCACTGAAGAAAAGTGTTCTTTTCCTTTGTTTTATTAACTTCTTTTCATTGCTCTGCTCTGACATTTAAAAATGGTTTCAAAAGAATTGGTTATGTCCTTGAAAAGGCAACGGGGAAAGATTTGTCTAAAGCTTTGTATTGCTCCGAGTAGCCAGGTGGGCGAGGTTTGGTGAAGCCCAGGGCTAAAAGGGAGGCCCCTGCACCAGGGGCCCAGCTCCCAGGAGACTGGACAAATCCTCCTAAATGTCATCTCAGCCTCCTGCGGTTTTCATTCTATCTTGTGTGTGCTGGGGGAGGGGCGACTGGGGAATGCACAGCCAGTACCAAAGTACACGGCCAGATCTCGCCAGACCAGAGTGGAAGTTCTGGGACACAGGCCCTATCATCTTTGTTTCCTTGGGTGCCCAGTGATTGTCGTACTGGTACCGAATACACAGTTGGTGACTTCAGATGGAAAAATACATAGTAAATGATCTTTTAAGTAAAACTAGAAAAATAGAGACGAAAAAGAACTGCTTTGAGAGTCAGTGATTCGGAAAGAAAGATCATGAACTTTGGAAGGAGACAGTACTGCTTAACCTTTTTTGGCCATGTTGATCTTAGGTAGGATAACAATTTCTTCTAATGTTCTATAGGGTAGGTCAACAGTAGAGAGTGCCTGTACAGTATGCACAATAAAATGTGGGAGAGTAGCAATAAAAATGAGCCTTTACAATAATAGCATTTATTATTACTCAGAACCTGTATTGTGAGCACTGATCTTCCCAAGACGAGTTTTTGAGTTTTGTTGTTTTGTGCAAGCCAATAGTTTTAATATTACTCTTCTTCATACTTTTAATTTTGTGTATTGTTTACTTTTCTCTAAAGTGAAGGGGTTTTTCCCCACAATAGGAAACAGAGTCTGCATATACACTTTTGTCTTATTGTGAGAATATTTTTTCAGAGCTATACTTATTTAGGAATATATATAGATTGTCTCCTTTTTTTGAAATCTGTGTCTCTGGTGGTGATTATGTGGCTCTAGCAAGAAAAAACATCTATACGTGGAAGGAGAAATTCTTGATACTAATGTGCATTTCATGAAGTATGTCCTTGCTGGGTGGCTTTAGCCTGTGTGAGGACTGTTATTTATGGTAGCTACTTGACTGGCAAGCAAACTAAAAGTCTGTGCTCAGAAAGAGTGATTCCAGTCTTCAGCCACATTGTTCTGTTGGCTGTTAAAATTTCCTATTCTTACTTGAGGCTTTCTGAGGCCAAGAATTTTTTCATTGCACCCCAGAAATCAAGTCACTGTCTGTTGCTGGACTGAAGACGTGAGAATGACTATAGAGATGGATAATTGCCTTAAAAATCAAAATTCTAACGCAGTAATTGTTCATATCACATCAGTTATTTCATCAGATGTTTATAATACTAGTACATCATTTGAATCAATTTAGTGAAATTGAACTCTGACTTGAGCTCTACACTCCAGTTTCTTGGTTTCTTTTGTCAGTAGGAAGTCTTAAGTGCAGCCTCTGGTAGGTTCATCAGTGGTGGAGCCGTAGAAAATTGCAGCTTGGACTCTTGGTGGTTTTGTGGGGGCAGATTTTTTTTAAGTGATCTATCTATAGGGTCCTTCTAACAGCTGCAGTTCTTGTCCACCAAATCAGTTTCTCTTGAGGGACGCTGGAAGCCAGGAGTACTGTCAGCCGCATAGGTGTTCTGAAGTTAAATTAATTCTGTGCCTTCACGACTGGCTAGGAAAAAAACCAGACTGAATTAATTCCTTTTACATTTAACATTCAAAGAATTCCTAATTTTTAATAGAGTTCATGAAGTTTCATTTGTGACATTTCTATAATTCTTTTCAATATTGCCTTAAATAATACGACCCCAGGAAAAGAATCTACTTAGAGCAGATGAATAACAGCATAAACTAATACAGTTCTTTCAGTCTTTCATCTTGTGTTTGTCTTTTCTTATTAATGTTTTACACTGTACACTCCATATATTATTTGATCTGTCACTGAACTTGCCTGTGCCAATGTACCAATGCCTGTATATTTTAAACTTACTGTAAAATATTTCATTCATATAAAATAAAAACATTCATATGTGTACAAAAGTTGTAAAGAATAATGAACAACTGTATACCAACCATCCAGATTAAAAAATGGTACATTAATAGGACCCTTTTTTTCCTTAAAAATTTTTTTAACATTTTATTTATTTCTGAGAGAGAGAGAGACAGCGTGAGCAGGGGAGGGGCACAGAGAGAGGAAGACACAGAATCTGAAACAGGCTCCAGGCTCTGAGCTGTCAGCACAGAGCCCGACACGGGTTTGAACCCACGAACTGTGAGATCATGACCTGAGCCGAAGTCGGACGCTTAGCCGACTGAGCCACCCAGGCGCCCCGATAGGACCCTTTTTTAACCTTTACATTTATCTGGAGTTTTCTTGCCCCTTTCTTTCATTGAAGACACAATTTTGTCACATTAGTTATTTCTGCAAAATGATTTTTCTTTTTTTTTCCATCATGTTTGCACACAAACACTGCTAGTGAGCTTCCTGGTCAGTGTTGCTGGCACTTTTTTTCCTGGCCACTTTTAATCTCTGATTGTTGAATTTGTTTTCACTCCCAAGTCCTTGAAAGAGTAATTACAGTAGCAGCAGCCTCAGGCTGGAAATATGGAATGCAGAGTTATAGAACGCTAAGGAACTTCTTAAAGATTATTCCTTAGAAATGGAATTTTCTGTGTGAGAGTGAATTGTCCGTACCCATCTTACTGGATCTTTAATGTCTGAATCATATGCTGCTTTTTTTATTAACTCATGTAATTATGTTTACATATGAAGAAAATACTGATGATCAAAGAAAGAGCTTTTCAATTTCATGGAAAAGATTTGGAGTTCTCATGTTGGTTATTTGTTGTTTGTAGAAAAAAGGTCTAGTATAGTGGGATGGGTCATACCAGCTGCCCGGTAGTGACCATAGCCCTGCTGTAGTTAGGAGTAGGTTTGGACTTGGTTGCAGTCAACGTAACAGTAAAATTTAGAACCACTGTAGCTTGAGATGTATTTTCAATACAAGATTTATCTTATGTATGTTTATAATACCTCGTATTAGGTATACACACTTACATTATTTTTTAGGACAGTTTTAGATTCACAGCAAAATTGAACGAAAATACGGAATTCCCACACCCCACCCGTCACCCTCCCCCGCCCCTACAAATGCACACAACCCCCCACCTCTGTGGGAAACATTCGTTACAGCTGATGAACCAGGACTGACACATCCTTACCCCCCAAAGTCCATAATTTAGAGCTCCCTCCTGCTGTTACGTGTTTGTGGGTTTTGAGAAATGTGTAACAACATGTATTCACTATGACAGAATCATGCAGAATGGTCTCGTGGCCCTAAAAGTACCTCGTGCTCCACCTGTTCATCCCTCCTTCCCCGTCCCTAGAAACCACGGATCTTTTCCTGTCTCCAAAGTTTTGCCTTTT